CCCCAAAAAGCTATCCTTCCCCATCAATACTCCCTCTCAAAGTTAACCACTATTCTGACCTGTATCACCATCAATTAGTTTTCCCTGTTCTTGAACTTCAGGTAAATGGAATTATACATTATTTTCTATTTTGTGCCTGACTTCTTTTATTTATTTATTTATTTTGAGATGGAGTCTCACTCTTGTTGCCAGGCTGGAGTGTAATGGCGCGATCTTGGCTCACTGCAACCCCCACCTCCCCGGTTCAAGCGATTCTCCTGCCTCAGCCTACTGAGTAGCTGGGACTACAGGTGCGTGCCACCACGCCCAGCTAATTTTTGTATTTTTAGCAGAGACGGGGTTTCACCATGTTGGCCAGGATAGTCTCAATCTCTTGACCTCCTCGTGATCCACCCGCCTCAGCCTCCCAAAGTGCTGGGATTACAGGCAAGAGCCACCCTAACCCGGCCTGTGCCTGACTTCTTTAGCTCAATTTACCTGTAAGATTTCTTCCATTTTGTTGTGTGTATCTGTTATTCCTTCCCTTTTATTGCTGTCTAGTGTTTGATTGTATGAATATGCCACAATTCATTTATCCATTCTCCTGTTGATGGATGTTTGGATTGTTTCCAGTTTTTGCCCATTATGCAATAATGCTGCTGTCATACTCTTGTACAGATGGACATATCTTGCCTTGGTTTTTGCTTTTGAAAATATAGCAAACATTGGCCAAGTGTGGTGGCTCATAACAGTAATCCCAGCACTTTGGGAGGCTGAGGCAGGTGGATCATCTGAGGTCAGGAGGTCAAGACCAGCCTGGCCAACATGGTGAAACCCCATCTCTACTAAAAATACAAAAAAAAATTAGCCAGATGTGATGGCAGGCACCTTTAATCTCAGCTACTCAGGAGGCTAAGGCAGTAGAATAGCTTGAACCTGGGAGGCAGAGGTTGCTGTGAGCCAAGATTGCGCCATTACACTCCAGCCTGGGCAACAAGAGTGAAATTCCAACTCAAAAAAAAAAAAAAAAAAGAAAAAGAAAATACAATCAACATTATGTTTCCCAGGCTGATCTCAAACTCCTGGGCTCAAACAATACTCTTGTCTTGGCTTCCCAAAGTGTTGGGATTATAGGCATGAGTCATTCCATGCCCAGCTGGAATATTTAAAACATATGGAAAAGCAGAGAGAACAGGACATTGAACTTCCATATATTCATCACCAGAACTTAGCAATTGTTAACATTTGTCCATATTTTCTTCATCCATTTTTATTTCTAACAGATAAATCCTATTTATTTATTTATTTATTTAGACAGGGTCTCACTCTGTCGCTCAGGCTGGAGTGCAGAGGCCTAGTCATAGCTCACCGTTACCTTAAACTCCTGGGCTCAAGCAATCCTCCCATCTCAGCCTCCTAAATAGATAGGGCTACAGGCACAAGCCACCATGCCTGTCTGGTTTTTAAATTTTTTTGTAGAAATAGGGTCTTGCTATGTTGTCCAGGCTTGTTTCAAGCTCCTGGCCTCAAGCAATCCTCCTGCCTTGGTTTCCCAAACCGCTGGCATTACAAGCATCACCACACTGGGCCCCGCTTAACATTTTTATTATAAGACAGAGTCTCACTCTCTCTCCAGGCTGGAATGCAGTGGCACAATCTCGGCTCACTGCAACCTCTGCCTCCCGGATTCAAGAGATTCTCTTGCCTCAGCCTCCTGAGTAGCTGGGACTACAGGCGCATGCCACCATGCCCAGCTAATTTTTGTATTTTTAGTAGAGACGGGGTTTCACCATGTTAGCCAGGATGGTCTCAATCTCCTGACTTCATGATCTACCTGCCTTGGCCTCCCAAAGTGCTGGGGTTACAGGCATGAGCCACAGCGGATGGCCAACAAATGTTTAAGTGCATAATACAGTATTTTTAACTATATGTACCATATTGTACACAGATCTCTAGAACTCATTCATCTCCTGTAACAGAAATTTTATACCCATTGAATAGCAACTCCCCATTCTCCAAACCGTTCAGCCTCTGGACAACCATTGTCTTACTGATGATAACGCTATTGTTATTTTTATAGTTATTTACTATGTGACTGTGTCTTTCCTCTATGTGGGGACCTACAGGTAGGAATCTCTCATGGTCCCAGTGAAGTTGCTGCTTTTTATTTAATTTTTTCTTGAGATGGAGTTTTGCTCTTATTGCCCAGGCTGGAGAGCAGTGGTGCGATCTCAGCTCACCACAACCTCTGCCTCCCAGGTTCAAGTGATCTTCTGCCTCAGCCTCCCAAGTAGCTGGGATTACAGGCATGCGCCACCACGCTGGCTAATTTTGTATTTTTAGTAGAAACAGGGTTTCTCCGTGTTGGTCAGGCTGGTCTCGAACTCCCGACCTCAGGTGATCTGTCTGCCTCGGCCTCCCAAAGTGCTGGGATCACAGGCGTGAGCCAGTGCGCCTAGCCTGACTTGCTTCTTGTAAAAGATAGCTTAGCCTTAGACTTTGAAGATATCCTTAGACCTCCAGACATGTCATCCAAAACTGCTGATCTCTCAACACTATGCTGCAACTCTGGCTCCTCCTTCTACCCTGCATTCTACTGCTTCCCAACTTCACAAAGGCAAGTTGTATATTTGTCATTCATCTTGGATCAGTATTGTCCTGTCAGATGGGACCCAGCCCCAGAAGAAGAGATACACAGTTTTCACCTACAATCACTTCCAGTTGGCCCTGACCACTCATGAGAGGTGCAGAGAATACACAAACAGAGGCTTCCTGTGACCTCCCTTGCGATGGAATAGCTTACGTCATTCTATTCACTTGAAGAAAAGGCTGGCCCTGGCTTTCTCACTGCCTGCAGTTTCCCTGTTTCACTGTCTGCACTCTCACTGTCTCCCACCACTTCCTCTCACTTCCACGGCTGACACTGGTCCAGGCCACCACCATCGTGCACCAGGGTCACTGAGTTTGTCTCCTGACTGCTCTCCCCATGCTTCCCCTTCACTTTACTCTCAAAACAGCACCTATCCAGAGTGCACCTGCCCAAGACTGGCGAGTTCTTCCACATCTCTCTCTGGCTTGCTGGGCTTTTTTTTTTTTTGTTTAAATTCATTTCTCTTGCCCTGCTGTCATTAGATATTGAAAAGAGCAAAATAGGCCAGGCATGGTGGCTCACGCCTATAATCCCAGCCGGGTTTTGAGTATTACTAGAGGCAGCCAGCAACCATTAATATTGGACTGTTTGATCAGTAGTACCCAAACCTGGATGCACAGATCACCCCACGCAAGGCCTCCAAGTTCCTTTCACATACTTCTTTTCTTTCCTTTTTTTTTTTTTTTTTTTTTTTTGAGATGAAGTCTTGCTTCATTGTCCAGGCTCCTCCATTGCCCAGGCTGGAGTGCAGTGGCTTGATCTAGGCTCACTGCAACCTCTGCCTCCTGAGTTCAAGAGATTCTCTGCCTCAGCCTCCTGAGTAGCTGGGATTATAGGCACCCACCACCATGCCTGGCTAATTTTTGTATTTTTAGTAGAGATGGGGTTTCACTATCTTGACCAGGCTGGTCTTGAACTCCTGATCTTGTGATCCACCCTTCTTGGCCTCCCAAAGTGCTGGGATTACAGGCGTGAGCCAACGCGCCCGGCCATCGTGTCACATATGTCTGTTAATTAATTAGTTCATTCAACATGTATTGATCAAGCACCTAATATGAGCCAGACAGATTATAAGGAAAGAATAAAGTAATTCTAGATTTAGTATGATGAGAACAATAAAAACAGCTGAAATGATGGCGAGGAACTGAAGGTCATGGGAGACCTCTCGAGGGAATGAAATTTGAGCTGAGTCCAAAAGAGTGAGAGAGAGCCAGACTTGCAAAGAGTAGAAAGAAAAACTCATCCTGAGTCTGAAAAGTGACAGATTTATTTAAGGAATAGAAAGGAGGCCAGTGTGGCCTAGTGGTGGGGGAGGAGGATTAGGGAGTCCCAAGCTTTGTAGTACTAAGAGTATCCCCTGTACCCAATCTCCAAAAGCAGTGGCTTTCTTAGATCATAAAACACACAGAGAAAGTGAAGACCTGGTTTTTTGTTTTGATTTGTTTTGTTTATTGAGGAGTCTTGCTCTGTTGCCCTGGCTGGAGTGCAGTGGCACAATCTCGGCTCACTGTAACCTCCTCCATCCGGGTTCAAGTGATTCTTCTGCCTCAGCCTCCCAAGTATCTGGGATTACAGGTATGTGCTACCACTTCCAGCTAATTTTTGTATTTTTAGTAGAGACGAGGTTTTGCTGTGGTGGCCAGGCTGGTCTCGAACTCCTGACCTCAAGTCATCCACCCACCTTGGACTCCCAAAGTGCTAGGATTATAGGCATGAGCCATCACACAGGCTTGTTTTGTTTTTTCTTTGCAAAATGTCAGTTCAGTATAAAAACGTGTTCAGGGCCTACTGTGTACCTGCCACTGCTTCAGCTCATCATAGAACTCAGGAGTTTTGTATTTTCCAGACTCCATCTAGTGACCCGTCGGCTTGCCCCGTCACTTTTGCTCTCTCTGCCCCTCCCCCTCCAAATCTCTCGGTCCACTGTGAGCCCTGAGACACATCCCCTGTGTCGGCAGCTGCCCCACTCGGTCTCTCCTTATCCCAGCCTCAAGCAGCTGCTTTTGTCTCAGGACAAGCGAAAGGGACTATTTAAGGAACCTGGCGGTGTGGGCGTGAAGGAACCCAGGAGGCCTCGCCTGGGCTCTGGATGAGCAACGGAGGCCAGGGCCATGCTCCACTTGGGTCCTGAAGATGGCTGTTAAGGTCTCTAGGGTTAGGAGAGTCCATTGGGAAGAAAGGTGACCACCAGGCGGATGCTGCCAGGCTCAGGGCGGGAGGGACATGCCGTGATTGAAAGGTGCCACCTGTCAGATCTTCCACGGGAAATCCGAGCCTCCCAGTCTAGGGGAAAGTGTTGTACCAACAGGGCAGTAAACAATGCTCTTCAGGCAGCCCAAGCCTCTTGAAGTGGGGGTGGGGTGGGGTGGAAGAGGGAGAGGGAGAGGAAAGGGGGAGGCGGGACCAAAGAGCTGGGGGCTTAAAGGCAGCCTGGAGTGAGGCCGCTCAGCTGGAGGAAAGAGACAGCTCCTGAGCCAGAGGCAGAAGCCCCACAGGTAGGAGAAGCCCTGGGCCCCTTTCTAAGGGTCCCTCTCTATCTGCCAATTCTCCCTCCCACTTTCTAAGGGCCAGAGCCTCCCAGGAGGGCCCCCCAGTTGGAGAAATCCAGGCTCCTTTCTAATTCTCTCCACCGCAATGTCTACTCTCATCAGATGCCAGGGTTCTCAACCCTGGGCAGCTGGGCAACCTGGAGATCACCTACAGGGCAGCCTGCAGGTAGCCATCCATGAGGCGGCCTCAGAGCAGGGGAGGGGACCTCAGGAGTCTCGAGAGTCAAGCTGGGTTGGGGCAGACTGTCTAAGCCAAGCCTGTCCAGCCCACGGGCCACCTGTGGCCCAGGATGGCTTTGAATGTGGCCCAACATGAATTCGTAAACTTTCTTAAAACATCATGAGATTTTTTTCTTTTTGCAATTTTTGTTTTAGCTCATCAGCTATTGTTAGTGTTAATATATTTTACATGTGGCCCAAGACAATTCTATTTCTACCAGAATGGCCTAGGGAAGCTAAAAGATTTGACACCCCTGAGATCAGCCTCTCCAAGGGAGGGCCTCTGGCTGGGTGGGGAAGGTGGAAGCCTCAGGACAAACGAATGACAGATGAGGCTGCAGTGGGTGGCGGACGCATCACAGAACATCCAGCGTTTATACTTCCAGGGGTTTGGAACTTTGGCTCACGTATCCCTTTCATCCTGGTCTTCCAGAAGAAACAGGAAAAGGCCAGGCGCGGTGGCTCACGCCTGTAATCCCAGCACTTTGGGAGGCCAAGGCAGGAGGATCATCTGAGGTCAGGAGTTCGAGACCAGCCTGGCCGACATGGTGAAACCCCATCTCTACTAAAAATTCAAAATTAGCTGGGCATGGTGGCACGTGCCTGTAATCCCAGCTACTAGGGAGGCTGAGGCAGGAGAATCACTTGAACCCGGGAGGCGGAGGTTGCGGTGAGCTGAGATCGCACCATTGCATTCCAGCCTGAGCAACAAGAGTGAAACTCTGTCTCAAAAAAAAATAAACAGGAAGAGAGAGGGAGGGGAGTTATCTGCAGTGCTGCTTTGGACACATTAACAGGGATGGTCTGGAGGCTTCCTGGGGAAGGAAGGAGGAAGGAAAGTGGAGAGTAAGAAAGGAAGGTGGGGGTGGAGAAACGTTCACGAAGGACCTACTGTGCACCCAGAAGAAAGAGAGAGGAACCCCTCAGCCGAATCTGACTGCCCTTTTCTACTTGTGGGGTGCCCGCACTCTGGGCCGGGGCCTTTGGAGGGACACTGGGCCGAGGAGCTAGTGGGAGCATGTATTTGGTGAGTTGTGGAGTGGGAGTCAGGACTCTTGGATTCTAGATAGGGCTAGGCTATTTGTCCTGTGACTTTCGTCGAGGGATGTCAACTCCCTGATCCTCAGATTCCTACTGGCTCCCTAATGGGGCCAATAACCAATTCTGAACGGTCAGAGCTAGAAACCATTGAGAGAAAGCAGAGCCCGAAGCGTAAGCTGTCAACTGCTGCAGGGCTGTGAATGCTGGGGGTGGGGGGCAGTGTCCTGGTTTCTCAGCATTTCTGAGCATCTTGACTCCTTTCCTATTTGTGACAAGCCTGGAGGGTGGAAAGCTGAGGTGATGAACATGCAGGATAGCTGAGGGGTGTGTGTGCGTGTGTGCGTGTGTGCGTGCGTGTGTGTGTGCGTGTGGGGGTGTGTGTGTGCGCGTGTGTGCGTGCACCTACCCTTCCCCTCCACCACCCTCAGTACATAGCATGCAGACAGAAGGAAAAATGGTTAGAGCTGCCAGCCTCGGTGGCTCCTGCCTATAAACCCAGCACTTCAGGAGGCCAAGGCAGGAGGATCACTTGAGGCCAAGAGTTTGAGACCAGTCTGGGAAACATAGTAAGACCCCATCTCTATAAAAAATAAAAACAAAAAAATAAAGAACAAAAAACTAGCCAGGTGTGGTGGCACACACCTAGGGTCACAGCTCCTTGAGAGGCTGAGGCAGGAGGATCACTTGGGTCCAGGAGGTGGAGGTCACAGTGAGCTATGATTGAACCACTGCACTCCAGCCTGGGCAGCAGAGTGAGACTCTGCCTCTTAAAAAGAAAAGATGACCAGAGCACTCAGCTATGTCTTAGCCAAATAGTGTCACACTTTGAGGTATAAAAAGGGTTTGTTATCATGCTACTGGCATTCAGTTCTCTCTGTCTTGTCTCACTGATAAATGCCCTGAAGGCTAGGTCAGGATCTTGTCCTGGCACAGGGCTGGGCATAGCCGACCCACACCATGCGAGCTGATGAGTGCTGAGTACTCATTCATGCAATGCCTCTGAATCCTGTTTCTTTAAGAGATGGGGTCTCACTTTGTTGCCCAAGCTGGAGTGTAGTGACTATTCATAGGCAACATTTATAGTGCACTGCAGGCTTGACCTCCTGGCCTCAAGTGATCCTCTTGCCTCAGCCTCTCGAGTAGTTGGGACCACAGGCATGTATCACCACACCTGGCTCCAGATATTTTCTAAACATGGGCTTCCTTAATCCTCCACCATCCCTATGGGACAGGACCTATTGTTAACTGCCGAAATCAAAACACAGAGAGGACAGATAGGTTGCTCAACGTTACACAATTAGAAACTCATGGGAGCAGGGATCCCATCACAGGAAGACACCAGAATCAACGATTTCACCACTAGTCCATGTCACCTTCCAAACAAGAGCGGAGAGCAGGAGGGGAAGGGGTCATGTTAGTACAGCATTTGCCATGCTTTCTTCTGCTTAAGAGAGAGTGGTGGATGCTTCTCAGGAAAAACAAAGCAAAAAAAAAAAAAAAAAAAAAAAAAAAAAAAAAAGCAGAAAAGGAAAACTCATGGTCAAATAGGTTTGGAGAAAAGTGAGTTAAATGAAGTTTAAGCAAAGTTACTGTTTCTTAACTATCTGGTATCTAAAATCTACTTAAATGCTATTGAAGCTGTATATCCATTTTTTTTTTAATTTTATTTTCTTTATTGTAGAGACAATTTCATTATGTTGCTCAGGCTGGTCTTGAACTCTTGGACTCAAGCAATCCTCCTACCTTGGCTTCCCAAAATGCTAAATTACAGGCATGAGTCACTGCACCTGGCTGAAATTGTATATCTCGAAAAGGGTAAAGAGTAGACTTTTTTGGCCAGGCGCGGTGACTGACATCTGTAATCCCAGTACTTTGGGAGGCCGAGGAGGGCAGATCACGAGGCCAGGCGATTGAGACCATCCTGGCCAACATGGTAAAAACTCTTCTCTACTAAAAATACAAAAATCATCTGGGTGTTGTAGTGCATGCCTGTAATCCCAGCTATTTGGGAGGCTGAAGCAGGAGAATCGCTTGAACCAGGGAATCGGAGGTTGCATTGAGCCAAGGTTGCACAACTGTACTGCAGCCTGGCAAGAGTGAGACTCTGTCTCAAAAGAAGAAAAAAAAAAAAAAAAAAAAAGGCCAGGCATGATGGCTCACACCTGTAATCCCAGTACTTTGGGAGGCTGAGGTGGGCGGATCACCTGAGGTCAGGAGTTCAAGACTAGCCTGGTCAACATGGTAAAACCCTATCTCTACGAAAAAAAAAATATATATATATATATTTTTTTTTATTTATATATATATATATAAAATAGCTAGATATGGTGGCATCCTCCTGTAATCCCAGCTACTTGGGAGGCTGAGGTGGGAAAATTGTCTGGACCCGGGAGGTGGAGGTTGCAGTGAGCAGAGCTGGTGCCACTGCACTCTATCCTGAGCTACAGAGCAAGACTTCATCTCAAAAAAAAAAAAAAAAAAAAAAAAAAGAGCAAGCCCAGAGAAGATTCTTCCTCCCAACCCTATAGGAAACCCGTTCTGTGCCATGGGAGACCCTAGTTTTCCACAGAACACAGTGGGGAGAACGTGACCCAGACGAACACCATCACTGCCAGTGGATACTGAAACCCAGAGAGGGCAAAGGACTTGCTCAGGTCTCAGTGGGGACTGGAAGATGCAGGTCACAGCCAGCCCCACAACTCCCTGGCTCCCTGGCATCTCAGCTGATGTGTGTCCATCTCCCGGGCTCATTTTCCCTCTTACTTTAAGGCACTGCTGGAGCCACTGAACCAGGAAAGGGCTCTAGAGGGAATCGGAGGACAGTGCAAGCATCTTGACAAATCCCATCCTACTTTTAGGAGATGGTGAGGGCATTGAATTCAGGAACCACAGGACTCTGGGTAAGACCTGAGTGGGTGGTCGGAGCAGAGCCCTGCCCGTCTTCCTGCCTCCTGTCCTCTGCCCAGTTACCCAGATGCCCTCGGTACTATCACTGAGAAAGATGGTGCTGCCAAGGCCAGGGGGTATTTTTAGTGCCTGACAGGAGTGACCACTTTTCTTACTGCCTGAGTCATGCCCTGAGCCCTATTTGGGGATTGTTTTCTTTGTAACTACACCCCCAAGAACGCCGGGGGGATGAAGGCGCTAACCCGGTGCCCCCATACACCTGTTTTTGTAGATCCTCCAGTATATACAGTACTTAAACAGGAAACTCCAAGTTAATATGTCATGATCTCTCCCATGCTCTCAGGGAGCAGTCAGAGGGTCAGATTGCCCAGCAGATGCCAGGGAGAGTATGGTTCTATTCTTCACTCAAGGAAACACTTCCTTGCCCAGGGCCACTTTTTCCAAGAACCATAGGCTGGCAGAGCTGGCAAAGCTCCAGACACCAGCTGGCCCAGGGGCTCCCAAATTTCAACCGTTTTTATACACCACCTCTATGATTTTGCTATATCTGTACCACCTATATTCCAGTTTCCTGAATGACTTCCTTTGAATCAACTTATTTTTAAATTCAGTAAATGTATTTTTAAAAGACACTGTATCACTGCTAGAAATAGAAACTTAATATCATTTGCCAGAAATAGAAAGTAACTGTATAAAAATAGATACAATGGAAACCAGTGTTAATCAATTCCATCTAGATATTTCTGCTTGCCTAGGCTCTCAGCGGAAAGTAACCATTTTTCCGTAGGTGTTCTAGGATGCCAGTATAAAATTGTGACCAGGCACTGCTCATGCCTGTAATCCCAGCACACTTTGGGAGGCTGAGGCAGGCGGATCGCTTGAGCTCAGGAGTTCGAGACCAGCCTGCGCAACATGGCAAAACCCTGTCTCTACAAAAAACACAAAAATTAGCCAGGTGTGGTGGTGAGCACCTGTAGTCTCAGCTACTCAGGAGGCTGAGGTTGGAGGATCACTTGACCTCAGGAGGCAGAAGTTGCAGTGAGCCGAGATCGTGCCACTGCACTCCAGCCTGGGCAACAGAGCAAGACCTTGTCTCAATAAATAAATAAATAATACAATAGCGTTGTGACCACTTCACTGGGTCAATCAAAAAGAGGCAACATGATGGAAAAGGCATTACGTGCTTCAATGTTCTTTAAAGCCGAAGCCAGAACCTATAGAGGGATGTGGGGTGAACCCCATCCAGTATCATGTCAATGTCGCCCAACCAACCCAGCTTTAGGGAAGTGATTCTCTCTCCTTCCTGCTTGGACCTGTTCAGTCCAGGTAGGAGCCAAGACGGAACCACTGACCTCCTGACTCCCAGGCCAGAGCTCTCTGAGGGTGGGGTTTTCACCTCATCCTGACATGGGGCATGAATGGGTTTTCTTGTTTTCTCTTTCCAGAGATGGAGCAGAAGGAAGAGAAGCCCTCTGAGGATGGGACCATCATCTCCCCAGGTGCAGACAACCCTGAGATGTCAGGAGGCGGAGACCTGGCAGAAGAGACGAAAGGCACAGCTGGAAAGGTCATCCATGAGGGGCCTCCCACCGAGGCAGGAAAGCAGGAAAAGGCACCAGCCGAGGATGGCAAGTCAGCAGAACTCCAGGGGGAAGCGAATGGATTAGATGAGGTCAAGGTGGAATCTCGGAGGGAGGCTGGTGGGAAAGAGGACGCTGAGGCTGAACTTAAAAAGGAGGATGGTGAGAAAGAACAGGCCACCACAACTTCTCAGGAGATGACTGGCAGGAAAGAAGAGACCAAATCCGAACCCAAGGAAGCTGAGGAAAAGGAGGAGAGCACACTGGCCTCCTCCGAGAAGCAGAAGGCTGAGGAGAAAGAGGTCAGGCCGGAATCTAAGGAGAAAGCCGATGCCAACGACAGAGACAAGCCTGAACCTAAGGCAATTGTTGGGGAGGAGGAGGCCAAGACGGCCTCTCAGGAGGAGAGAGGCCAGAGGGAGGAGCGCAGCACTAAACCTAAGGAGGAGGCTGTAGACAAAGAGGCCAGGGCGGAACTGCAGAAGGTGGCCGTGGTGGAGGATGAGGCTAAGGCTGGACCCAAGGAGCCCAGTGGGAAAGAGGAGGCCAAACACGATGCAAAAGAGGAGGCTGATGCAAAGGCGGAGGCTGATGCAAAAGAGGAGGCTGGTGCAAAGGCGGAGGCTGATGCAAAAGAGGAGGCTGATGCAAAGGCGGAGGCTGATGCAAAAGAGGAGGCTGGTGCAAAGGCGGAGGCTGATGCAAAGGCGGAGGCTGATGCAAAAGAGGAGGCTGATGCAAAGGCAGAGGCTGATGCAAAAGAGGAGGCGGAAGAGGCCGTGAGTAAGGCAGGAACAGGGCAAGGAGGCTGTGGCGTCTCCTGCTCTGGAAGCAAGCCCCTTCTGCTTCAGTCAGTCGGGAAAGTCCAGGCTTCCTCCCGCTGATTTCCAGAGCCTGGGGTGGGAGAGCGGGGAAAGGGGTGTAGCACTGTAATCCCAGGCTGCCTTTCAGATCTTTCTGAAATCCTCATAAAGCCAGGGCAGGTGCTGTGTGGCGGTGAGCCCACACAGATCGTGCTCATTCCAGGAGCCAGGCAGTCCCAGCGAAGAGCAGGAGCAGGACGTGGAAACGGGGCCCGAGGAAGGAGCAGGGGTGACTCCCAGCTCCCCCGAGGAGTGGCCTGAGAGCCCCACGGGGGTGGGTCATGCCCTCAGCACAGGTGAGTGAGAGCTCAGAGCCCACAGAATGCTGCAGGGGCCACCTGGGGTAGGGGCGGGAGGAGCATGTCCTGGATAGCCCCAGCTTCCCTCCCTCCTTTCCCTTTCCTCCAGATGGGTTGGGTCCAGACTCCATAGCTTCTGGAGAGACCAGTCCTTCAGCCAGGTAATGTCAAACTCTGGGGCTCCAACTCCAACTCCCCCTACCTCCTGCTCCCCTCAGCATCCACCATCACCTCAGTCTGGGTCTCCCCCAGCACCTGATTTCAAGATATTCCAGGATTCCTGGTATTCAGCCTCCTATTCCAGGCAGAGCCCAGGAAAGCAAAGAAGCCAGAGGCATGGCTGGGCGCAGGGGCTCACGTCGGTAATCCCAGCACTTACCGAGGGAGGCTGAGGTGGGCGGATCACCTGAGATCAGGAGTTTGAGACCAGCCTGGCCAACATGATGAAACCCCAACTCTACCAAAAATACAAGAATTAGCCAGGCATGGTGGTGTGCGCCTATAATCCCAGCTACTTGGGAGGCTGAGGCAGGAGAATCACTTGAACCCAGGAGGTGGAGGTTGCAGTGAGCTGAGAGCATGCCATTGCACTCCAGCCTGGGTGACAGAGCAAGACTCCATCTCAAAAGAAACAAAAACAAACCCAGAGGCAGAAAGGAGCTGGAAGGATACCTGGTCCACTTCCCATGCTGTGGCTGAAGTCTGCACTTCAGCAACCCTAACCCTTCACAGGAGCTCCTTATCTTTCAACTGATCGTGTTTCCGTGATGCCGGTTGTCTATAAAAGCATGATTGGAAAGCCTGAGTTTGAACAGTGGTTCTGCCAGGTACCAGCTGTGTGACCTTGGCCATGTCACTGAACCTCTTCTCATCTGTGAAGTGGGAGTAGCAATTGTATCTCCCTCGTAGGATGACTGGGAGGCTTCAGTGAGTAACAAGCGCAAAGCTCTTTAGCCCAGTGCCTGGTCCATGGCAGGTGCTGGATAAAATCACAGGCTTGTGCTTGCCATTGCACAACTTGTCATTAGAAGAACCTTCCATTATATGGAGCGAAAATCTGCCTCCTTGTCCCTTTCATAGGGAAAGATAACCAGTGAATGGTCACTGAGCATCACTGCATGTGGCAGGCACAGCTGGGTGCTTTACATTCACCTTCTTACGTAGGTCAGGTAGGAAGAAGCGAAGCCAGGATCCAAACTCAGGTCAGACCTCACAGGAGTCCTAGCACCGCCCACATGTCCTCACCAGCACACATGCTCCCCCAAGTTAGACCGAGACTCGTTCTTCTTTCTCAACGCCCTCCCAGTGCTGGGCAGAGAATAAACGTGTGCCACAACTGCACACTGCCCTTTAGACAGCAGTGCCTACCCCTCAGCACCTCGGCCCCTCCCTGTGTCCTGCAATGCTGGTCCCAGCCCGTCTCACGCTTCTCTGGACTTCATACAGTGAGTCTTCACCCAGCGATGCACCCCAGAGTCCCCCTGAGTCCCCTCCATCAGGGGAGAAGAAGGCACCAGAGCGCAGGGTATCAGCCCCTGCTCGGCCCCGGGGGCTACGGGCACAGAACCGCAAAGCCATCGTGGACAAGTTTGGCGGGTAGGAGGACATGGGCCAGGGGCTGGGCTGGACTTTGCCACAGAAACCCAGAGGGTTGGTGGGAGGGTGGCCTCAGGGGCAGTGGAACAGCCCAGGCCAAGGCAGGGGGATGGACACCCGCGGTGGGGATTCTCCTAGTGGGGCCCTTCATGGCCCCCTGCTCTCTGGCTTGGCCTTGCACCCCTCCCCCGACACAGGGCAGCGTCTGGCCCCACTGCCCTGTTCCGGAACACTAAGGCAGCTGGGGCAGCCATTGGTGGTGTCAAGAACATGCTCTTGGAGTGGTGCCGAGCCATGACGAGAAAATACGAGGTGGGCATGGGACAGAGGCTGCATGGGTGGGCAAGGGGTCCAGGGAGGGTCTGAAGGGTGCAAACCCCAAAGGGTGGGAGAGTGGGAAGGGGGCCAAGTCTAGGCCGTCTGGTTGAGGCTCACTGAGGCCCCATCTGTGCCCTGCCTGCCATAGCACGTGGACATCCAGAACTTCTCCTCCAGCTGGAGCAGCGGCATGGCCTTCTGTGCCCTCATCCACAAGTTCTTCCCTGACGCCTTTGACTACGCAGAGCTGGACCCCACAAAGCGCCGGCACAACTTCACCCTGGCCTTCTCCACAGCAGAGTAAGCCACAGTCATGGGCTGGCAGAGCCAGATGGGAGCTTAGGCAAGGACTGGATTTACAGGGTTGAGTAGTGGGGCCATTACATTGTTGCTGGCACCACACCTTCATATATCCAACAGACACTCCCTCTGCCACCCAAGCTGGAGGGCAGTGGCTCAATCTCAGCTGACTGCAACCCCCAACTCCCAGGTTCAAGAGAGTCTCTTGACTCAGCCTCCTGAGTAGCTGGGATTACAGGTGCATGACCCCATGCCTGACTAATTTTTGTATTTTTTTTAGTAGAGATGGGGTTGCACCATGTTGGTCAGGCTGGTCTTGAACTCCTGACCTCATGATCCACTCCCCTTAGCCCCCGAAGTGTTGGGATTACAGTTGTGAGCCACTGTACCTGGTCAAACAGACACTTTTTTTTTTTTTTTTTTTTTAGAGGGCCAGGCACTGTTTCAGGCCCTGGGGATACACCAGTGGGTGAAACAGACAAGAATCTCTGCTTGGGTCAAGTGCAGTGGCTCACACCTATAATCTCAGCACTTTGGGAGGCCAAGCCAGGAGGATCGCTTGAGGCCAGGAGTTCAAGACCAGCCTGGGCAATGTAGTGAGACCCTCCCATCTCTATAAAAAATCAAAAAATTATCAGGGCATGATGGTGGGTACCTGTGGTCCCAACTACTAGGGAGGCTGAGATGGGAGGATCACTTGGGCCCGGGAGGTCAAGGCTGCGGTGAGTCATTGAACCACTACACTCCAGCTTGGGTGACAGAGCAAGACTTTGTCTCAAAAAAACAAAAAAAGTTATTATTTTTAAAAATGAAAGGGAAATTGGACATCTGGACTTACAGCACTAAGTGAATATCAGGAGGTCAGGCAGCTCTGCCCTGACCGAGTGCTCCTGACCTGGAGAGTGTGAACCAGTGTCCTGCAGCTGCTTGGACTCTGGTTCCAAGCCAGGCAGAGCCATTGGAAGGTGGGAGGAGAAATCAGATGACAATGACAGGCCGACAGGAGGCATCAGGCAGCTGAAAGGCCAGGAGGCCGTGGGGATGTGTGGAGAAAGAGGGAGGAGAATAGAAGCTGAGGTGCCTGGGTTTGAACCCCGCCTCCTCCTCCCTGGCTCTGTGACCCTCTCCAGCTGACCTCACATCACAGGGCTTGTTGTGAAGATTAAGTGTGCAGAGGAGTGAGTGTCTGCCACAACCATCACACCCCACTGCCCGTTCTATAACTCTCCTCAGATTCCCACGGAGTCCGGGGGTGAGGGCAGGGAGTGGCCAGTGCCAAAGCCCTCAGTGGTGGGGCCCTTCCCCACTCACTCCCCAGGCTCAATGGGAATGAAGGTTTTGCCTCTGCCATACAGAAGGACAGCACCCTAACCCACAACCGTGGGGCACTGCCTTGGCTGCAGGGAGCTTGTCCAGTTCTCCAAAATCCTCCAGTGTGTGTGCTTCTTCCCCCGGCTCCCAGTCTGGCATGGATTTTGGCAGTCTCAGCCCCAAAGGAGGATTTCCACTGGGGCCCTGGTTTCTCCTCTGCCAGCACCTATGGCTGGCTTTGGAGGGCAGGGACTGCTGAGACCCAGCTCCAGAGTAAGGATGCCAGAGGCGTCAGGCCCCCGGGTTGAGGCCCAGCTGCGTCGCTCACTTTGGCCTTGGCCAAGCCACCAAAAACACACTGAGTCTCCAGTTCCTCTTCTGCTGGCTGAGGATGGAGGGAAGGAGTCTATGAGAACGTCCAAGGGGAAGCATCTGATAAAGCAGGAGGTTGGTGTGAGGCCCCAACACTGATTAGCTCAGCTTATCGGCCTCCGCAAAGCCTGTGATGTCACAGAGCCCGAAAGGGCAGCTGCAAAGCTAGAAAAAGAGGACTTGCTCCAAGTGCCAGCAGCTACTGAAACACCAAGCTCCTGCCTCAGGTCCTTTGCACAAGCTCTTTCCTTTCCTCAGATGTGCATATGACTTACTCTCTTTAAGAGACCTACCCTGAACACCCTATAAAGAATACCACAGCTGGGCGCGGTGGCTCACACCTGTAATCCCAGCACCTTGGGAGGCTGAGGTGGGTGGATCACCTGAGGTCAGGAGTTCAAGATCAGCCTGGCCAACATGGTGAAACCCCATCTCTACTAAAAGTACAAAAATTAGCCAGGTGTGGTGGTACATGCCTGTAATCCCAGCAACTTGGGAGGCTGAGGCAGGAGAATTGCTTGAACCCGGGAAGCAGAGGTTGCAGTGAGCTGACATCATGCCACTGCACTCCAACCTGAGCAACAGAGCAAGACTCCATCTCAAAAATAAATAAATACATCTACAAAAAATAAATAAAAATGCCAGATCTCCTCCAACATAAGAACATGTCCTGTCTCCCTTCCTGCCTTATTTTCCTCCTTGGCACCTCTCACCATCTGATGTATCATCTACTATGTGTGCTGATTACTGTTGCCTGCCACAAGAATTTCCATGCCATGAGAATGGGGAAGTTTTGGTTTTATTCACTGGTGAATTCTTAGAGCCTAGAAGAGGGCCTGGCACATAATAGGCTCCCGATAAATACACAGAGACTGAACGAATGACACTTCTGGAGATACGGCAGCTGCAAGACAGGACTCTGGCTAGGATTTGGTTTCTGTCTTTTTGCCTGTTTGTTTGTTTTTGAGAAAGAGTCTCACTCTGTCGCCCAGGCTGGAGTGCCTGGGTGTGATCTCAGCTCGCTGCAACCTCTGCCTCCTGGGTTTGAGTGATTCCCCTGATTCAGTCTCCTGAGTAGCTGGGATGACAGGCGCCTGCCACCATGCCCAGCCAATTTTGTATTTTTAGTAGAGACAAGGTGTCACCATGTTGGCCAGGCTGGTTTCAAACTCCTGACCTCAGGTGATCCACCTGCCTCGGCGTCCCGAAGTGCTGGGATTACAAGCTGGGATTGAGCCACCACGTTCGGCCCCTTCCAGTTCTTTTCGAGGGGCCTGGCCTAACAGAAGCTCCCCAGTTCCAGAGGACAGATACACATGCATGTGAAAGTGGTGGGTTAATTCAGAACTAGAGACCAGAGGGTCCTGCTCCCATGTAAGGACAAGAAGTGCAATGAAAATGCGGCTTTGGAATCAGTCCCAGCTGGGTTTGAGTCTTTAATTTTTTTTTTTTTTATTATTTTTTTTTTTTTGAGAAGCTCCCATTCTCCAAAAAGTTCTCACTAGGTTGCCCAGGCTGGTCTCGAATTACTGAGCTCAGGGGATCCTCCCACCTTGGCCTCCCCAGGTGCTGAGATTACAGATGTGAGCCACTGCGCCTGGCCTAAAACTCATTATTGAAGAATTCACTGATGTTGGCTCTGGGGTTACCTGTCTGTCTATATCCTCTGACTTACCTATATCACAGCTAAAGGAAGCCACAGTACCTGGCCTGGGTTTGTTTTGACTATGTTGGGGCCTCAGTTATCTCATCTGTATAATGGGACAGTTGGCTTAGCGGATTTCCCAGCTCCAACATCCTAGCCCATCCTATGGGCTTCAGCCTTGCTGGGCTACCCGCACCCGTCTCCTTGGCTCCCATTGCCTCCACCTTTGACCTCTGCTCCTCATCCCACCCCATACCTTAGGAAACTGGCTGATTGTGCTCAGCTGTTGGACGTGGATGACATGGTGCGGTTGGCCGTGCCCGACTCCAAGTGTGTCTACACCTACATCCAGGAACTGTACCGCAGCCTCGTGCAGAAAGGACTGGTGAAGACCAAGAAGAAATGAGGAGGTAGCTGGCTCTGTGGGCAGAGATGGGCAGGGCGCCTAGCTCACCAGCCGTGGCCGGGAGGCTCCCTTCTGCTCCAGGGAGGCACCAGAGCCAGGGGCTCCAGCAAGGATGTGTGACGCTGGTTTTAACTGCATTAAAAGTGCTTTTGTAAAACACTGTCTGGCCCCTCAGTGCTCTCTCCATACTTGGCCCAGGAACCTCTGCACTCTGGGATAATCAACTCTTGCCATAGGGGTTTCCTCACCTGCTGAGATCTCAGTAATTGTGCAAGGTGTTTGCGAAAGGACAATGGCCTGGGTCCCACCACTAACAAGCTGTGTGACACTGGGACATACAATTAACCTCTCTGGGCCTCAGTTAACAGTCTGAAAGGGAATAATGAGAGTTCCAACCTTATGAAGGTGTTGTGAGAGTTAAATGAGATGATGAAATGGGCAAAAACCTTTGCCCAGTCCTGCCACTTAAGCGGCCAATAATTGGTGGCCAAAAATAAAAGCCAAACTTACATTTTGACTCCGGTGGCACTTCTCCTGGTTATCTTCCCCTCTTTCTACACTTCTTCTCAGGTTAGGGGACTCCAGGTCAGGAGCTAGAGAAGATTCTCTAGAAACCAGTGGGATCTGGGTAATTTTCTTAACTCAAAGACACCCCATATTCTGTCTCTGAAAAGCCAGCAGTATTCCAGGAGCTTACAACAATTGTGACCAGAAAGTTCTTCCTCTGGGTTAAGTTAATCCCTCTATCTGGCCAAAGCTTTGACTTGTTTTTATTTTTCCATTGCTCATGAGCTACGAACCCCTGGGCTGATGACAATTTCCTGCTAACTATCCAGTTTGGCTTTATCAGCCATTTGGGGCATGTGTGCTGATGAAAGCAGCTCATGAAAAAAGAAAAACAAAACGCAAAACACACCCCAGCCATAACCCTGGCTCGCCTGCAGGGGTGTGGACTGGCAGAGGGAAGCCAAGCAATCCACTGAAGTGCTCTGTGCCTCCTTCATTGCCTCGTCTTTAAAATGGAGATGTTGGCCGGGCACAGTGGAGCACCCCTGTAATCCCAGCACTTTGGGAGGCCGAGGCCTGTGGCTGATCTGAGGTCAGGAGGTCAAGGCCAGCCTGGCCCATATGGTGAAACCCCATGTTTACTAAAAATACAAAAATTAGCCGGGCGTGGTGGCAGGTGCCTGTAATCCCGGCTACTGGAGAGACCGAGGCAGGAGAATCACCTGAACTCAGGAGGTGGACGTTGTAGCGAGCAGAGATTGTGCCACTGCACTCCAGCCTGGGTGCTGGAGTGAGATGCTGTCTCACTCATAAGAAAGGAAAGAAAGAAAGAGAGAGAAAAGAAGAACGAAAAAGGAAGGAAGGGAGGGAGGGAGGAAGGGAAAGGAAGGAAAGGAAACGGAGATGTCATCCCTGTGGACCTTCTAAAAGCTCTTCTGTCCAAGGATGGCCTACTTTTCCATGGCCAACACTCCTTATGATGTTTGCGGAACATCCAAGGGAAGCAGAGTGAGAAATTTCAGCTTAAATCTCCAGTCCTCTCTGGTCCTGATGAAACCACCCCATCCCCTCATCAGACTCAGCTGCGCTCCAGAATTCATCTCTGACTTTAATGACTTAAGCAAGAACATGGTTTCTGTGGCTCCCCCTGGACTGGATGCTGGAGGACACACACTTCACAGTCTGAGGCCTGGTCCCAGGAACTGGCAACCGAACACAACAGCCAGTGGTTTCGAAACATACGGTCAGATTTTCAGGATGGAGGTTTGATTCTTCCTACTGTGACTCACCCGTGGAAAATAAAAGGCTTAGCGCCTACATCTGTACACTCCCATCAGTGGCTTGGCTGACTCAGTTGTAAACAGGGTACCTTCTATGTGCCTCCCACCCATATACGCCACTGTCCCCAGGCCCTGAGTGCTTGAGCCCTAGGGGGATCTGAGTGGGCGGCTGGGCTCATTTCCTGCAAGCTGGCCTGCCGGGTTACCGGTCTTTCTAAGGTGGAGAACTGGCCTGTAACTCTGCAAACTTCAACTCCCTTGGCTCTGGGGGATGCAAAGGATGTGGCCAGGCGAACCCGAGAGTGAGTCCACACACAACACACACACTCACAGCTCCCCTCCGTCCACCGCACACACACACGAACTAATGACTAACAACCTAAGAAGAGAAAAATGAGTGGGGGAATGGATCATCAAGGGGCTCCGGCCCCAGTCTGTGAGGTGCGTCCATCCACAACGCAGAGGGTCAGAACATGAGTTAGGAGGGCCGGTCCATTCCGAATCGGAGGGTGAACTCTTCAGCATTCTTCCTGAACAGCTCTGGATTCTGCGTCAGCAGGTCAGCGACGTCCACCCGCAGGGGCTCTGCCACATTCGGTCTATTCACCAGCACATTGAGGGCCTCCAGCACTGCGGAGAGACAGGCCAGATCAGGACATCAGGGCAGAGGGAAGGGGGTCACGGCTGCTCACTCCCAGTGCCCTGACACTCCACACCCACTCCTTGGGGGAAAGATTCCATAGCTTAAGATGACTCTATGACCAGATCAAATGCCCCGCCCATCCTTGGTTGTTGACACCCAAGGCCCTGACTGATTACATCAGTGGTTTTATTTTTTGAGACAGAGTCTCTCTTCGTTGCCCAGGCTGGTGTGCAGTGGCAGGATCTCGACTCACTGCAACCTCCGCCACCCAGGTTCTAAGAAATTCTCCTGCCTCAGCCTCCTGAGTAACTGCGACAACAGGCGTGTGCCACCACACCCAGCTAATTTTTTTTTTTTTTTTTAGAGACACAGTTTCACCATCTTGGCCAGGCTGGTCTCAAACTCCTGACCTCGTGATCTGCCCGCCTCGGCCTCCCAAAGTGCTGGGATTACAGATGTGAGCCACCGTGCCCAGCCAAACATCAGTGGTTTTCAAACAGCTACATCCCACAGCTTCAAAGAAGCTCCTCATTACGGGGACCACTGAGATAAGTGAGGTTTCTGGGTCTTATCCCCATTTCAACAAAAACCACTCTGTTTTCCTCCAGTATATTGAGAGTACAAATAAACTTTTACTTGGGCAAAAGGGGTCTAAGGCTGAAGACTGAAAACCGCCACTGCCCTTGGCTCTTCATCTTTCAACAGATGCCTTTGGGAACCTGGTGAAGGTAGCAGCCCACCTCCCTAGACAGACGCACACATCCACATGCAACACAGACAGTGCTGACTTAGAGTGCTTCCCGCATCCCCTGAAGCTAATCCAAGAACCACTCCTCTCCTTGCTCCCACTCCCACCAACCTAAGGACTTTTGTTTCTTGAGATAATAACTAAACTAATCCAGGTGGAGAATAGCCCACTGATTCAGCCACAGGCTCTAGAGCTGCATTGTCCAATATGGTAGCCACTAGCCACACACGGGCATCTAAATTTAAATGAATTAAAATCAGGCCAGGCGCAGTGGCTCACACCTGTAATCCCAACACTTTGGGAGGCCAAGACGGATGGATGGCTTGAACTCACAAGTTCAAGACCAGCCGGTGCCACATGGTGAAACGTGGTGTCTGCAAAAAATACAAAATTAGCCAGGCATAGTGGCATGCTCCTGTAGTCTCAGTTACTTGGGAGGCTGAGGCAGGAGGATGGCTTAAGCCCAGGAGGTGGAGGTTGCAGTAAGCCAATATCTCGCCACTAAACTGCCTGGGCAATAGAGACAGACTTTGGGTCAAAAGAAAAAAAAAAGAATTAAAATTAAGTACAATTAAGAATTGAGAGCCGGACGCGGTGGCTCAAGCCTGTAATCCCAGCACTTTGGGAGGCCGAGGCGGGTGGATCACGAGGTTAAAAGATCGAGACCATCCTGGTCAACACGGTGAAACCCCGTCTCTACTAAAAAAAATACAAAAAATTAGCTGGGCATGGTGGCGTGTGCCTGTAATTCCAGCTACTCGGGAGGCTGAGGCAGGAGAATTGCCTGAACCCAGGAGGCGGAGGTTGCGGTGAGCCGAGATCGCGCCATTGCACTCCAGCCTGGGTAACAAGAGTGAAACTCCGTCTCAAAAAAAAAAAAAGAATTGAGTTCGCCTGAGGTCAGGAGTTTGAGACCAGCCTGGCCAACAGGGCAAAACCCCATCTCTACCAAAAATACAAAAATTAGCCAGGTATGGTGGCACACACCTGTAATGCCAGCTACTCATGCGGCTGAGGCAGGAGAATCGCTTGAACCTGGGAGACAGAGGTTGCAGTGAGCCGAGATCATATCACTGCACTCCAGCCTGGGCGACAGAACAAGACTCTCTGTCTTAAAAAAAAAAAAAAAAAAAAAGAATTGAGTTCCTCTGTTGCAACGGCCACACATGGCTAGTGAGCCAGCCAGGGGCTGCCATTTGCTATCTGTATGAGCTCAGGCGATCACTTCACCTCTCACACGCTTCAGTGTCCGGGTCTATTAAACATGACAACACTACCTCACGGGGTTGTGGGGGAAATACAAATGAAGTCGGCCTGAGAGGCTCTTTGCACAGTGCTCAGTCAAGTGACGGGTGTTATCCTTATTAGGCCAGTTCCCTCCACTGTCATTTAGGACACAGAGTCCCAGAAAGGATTGAAGACTTGCCCAAAGTCCACAGAGGGAACAGGGGCTTTCTTATCCCGAGCCCTTCCCATTGCAGCCAGCCAAGCTGCCTCTCCCATGTACCACAGCACAGTTCTTCTGTCAGTACTGCCCAGGAATAGAAACAGAGGCAGGAGGTCAGCCTGTCCAGGAAGCACCCCTTCTATCTCACAGTAACTTCAGCCAAGACTCACAGTTTTTATCTCCTCTTTTTTGGGCTTTTCAAGCTCAGAGTAAGTCTGTGAACCCCCTCTCCAGTAATCTCTCCTCCTCCAACAGCAGTCCCTCCTCCAGGCAAAGCCCAGCCCCACCTTGACAAGTCTTGGTGCAAGGCTTCCAGTTCTCGTTGCTGATGATGGGCAGGCAGACCTGTCCGTCCTCATCCACATTGGGGTGGTAGATCTTGGTTGTGAATTTGATCGCGGGAGGCTTGAACGGATACTCCTGGGGGAAGCTGATGCGCACATTGAAGGCCTTGAGGTGGTAGGGAGGTTGGTCCTGTGCAGAGAGAAAAAGGATCAAGCCCTGGTTTGGTTTTTCTCCCTTCCTGCCCCCATCCGAGGGTCCTAGGTATCGTCTGCTTCACTGCCAGGAGGAATCATGGCCCAGGGTACGCATGGCACCTGCGATCATTTGACAATTGAGTTATGGATTACTCAAAGTGTGGAATCACCAAAGGGCACTGGCCTGGGAGGCAAAGAAGTCCGATCCTGGCATGTGCTGTGTGACCACAGGTGAGCCACTTCCCACCTCTAGGCCTCAGTTTCCTCATTTGAAAAGTGGATAAAGATGGCCTAGATGAGCTCTAACAACCATTTCAGCTTTCAAGGCTTTCTGAGATTATGGAAGAAAAGGATGGAACATTCTTTCTTAGAACAGTAGAATGGGGGTGAGGAAATTAAGAAAATGAGAAAATCCTAAGAACTCAAGAGCTTGGGAAAATAAAATGGTGCAGCTGCGATGGAAGACAGTATAGCAGGCCAGGTGCAGTGGCTCACGCCTGTAATCTCAGCACTTTGGGAGGTCAAGGCAGGCGGATCACAAGGTCAAGAGATCGAGACCATCCTTGCCAACATGGTGAAACCCTGTCCCTACTAAAAATACAAAAATTAGCCCGGCACCTGTAGTCCCAGCTACTCGGGAGGCTGAGGTGGGAGAATTGCTTGAACCCGGGTGGCAGAGGTTGCAGTGAGCTGAGATCACACCACTGCACTCCAGCCTGGTGACAGAGCAAGACTCTGTGTCAAGAGCAAACGAAAAACAAACAAACAGTATAGCAGTTTCTCAAAAGATTATACACAGAACTACCACATGATGCAGCAATTCTACTTCTGGGTACGTACTCAAAGAACTGAAAGTAAACAGGTATTTGTATACCAATGTTTACAGCAGCATTATTCACAATAGGCAAAAGCTGAAAGCAAACCGAGTGTCCATCAATGGACCAGTCAACAAAACGTGCCATATACAGGTAATGGAATATTACTGGCCTTAAAAGGAATGAAATTCTGATGTATGCTACAACACAGATGAAACCTGAAGACACTATTACTGAGGGAAATAAGCTAAACAAAGTGCTGGGATTACAGGCGTGAGCCACCTCCCTAGGAGAGAGAAACCCCAGAACTTGGGTGACCCCAGTGCAGAACACAAGGGCCTTCAGGCTGATTCCAAATTACCAAATCTTTTCAGAGCCTTTGTTATTGAAAGGACAGAGAAAAGACAGCAAGAATGGCATATGTGGTTAAGCAGAGTGAAGATTTTCAGAGCTTCTCCTCCTTAATGGGCAAAATAGAAACCACGGTGATCTTGAGCGCGTTCAGATAAGAGACGGAGTAACTAGTAGGAAGATAATGAAAATACCTCAGCTCTTATGGGCTCAGTAAGAACATAAGAAGAAAACGCTGGACCTATCAGTCAGAGAAGGCCAAGGGCAGAGGCCTCAGAGCAGGATGGGAAGGTGCTGTGGTTGGATGTTTGTCTCCGCAAATCTCATGTTCAAATCTCATGAAATTTGCTCCCCAAGGCCAGCGCGGTGGCTGAGGCCTGTAATCTCAGCACTTTGGGAGGCTGAGGCAGGCGGAGTTCAGGAGTTCAAGATCAGCCTGGGCAACATGATGAAACCCCATCTCTATTAAAATACAAAAAATTAACCAGGCATGGTAGTGTGTGTCTGTAGTCCCAGCTACTCAGGAGGCTGAGGCAGGAGAATTGCTTAAAACCAGGAGGCAGAGGTTGCAGTGAGTCTCACTCTGTGCTCCAGAGCAAGACTCTGTCTCCAAAGAAAAGAAGAAAAGAAAAGAAAAATCGGATCCCCAATGTTGGAGGTGGGGCCTTGTGGAAGTGTATGGGTCATGGGGGCAGGTCTCTCATGAATGGCTCAATGCCATCCTCACAGTAATAAGACAGTTCTTACTCTAATACTTCCTGAGAGAGCTGGTTGTTTACAAGGTCCTGGCATCTGCCCTCTCTCCTCTCTCTCTCTCACTTCTCTTGCCGTGTGATCTGTACGCGCAGCTCCCCTTTGCCTTCCACCATGAATGGAAGCTTCCTGAGGCCTCACCAGAAGCAGATACTGGTGCTATGTTTCTTGTACAGCCTGCAGAAGCTTGAGCCAAATAAACCTCTTTTCTTTGTATATTACATCACCTCAGGTATTCCTTTACAGCAACACAAACAGACTAAGGGAGAGTATCGGTGTGTCCTGTCTGAAGGGGCTTCTTTCTGGGCTTCGTAGGTCTTAACAGAGGAAGGAGGTAGCAGAGTCCTGGAGCTGAGAGCTCTGGGGACCTGTCCCAGCTCTGCCTTGGACTTGTTATGTGACTGAGCTTTCTCTGAGGATCAGTTGCCTCATTTGTAAAATGGAGAAGTTGGACCAGAGGATTCCATACTGTATCTTACAGTCAGTTGAGAAAGTCCTACTACCTTCTAAGAACTAGGTTAAATATGGTGTTTTGCTCCTTTTTTTTTTTTTTTTGAGAGAGTTTCACTCTTATCACCCAGACTGGAGTGTGATGATGCAATCTTGCTCACTGCAACCTCTGCCTCCTAGGTTCAAGCGATTCTTGTGCCTCAGCTTTCTGAGTAGCTGGGATTACAGGAGCCCACAACCATGCACAGCTAATTTTCGTACTTTTAGTAGATACAGGATTTTTGTCTCTACTAAAGAAAAAGAGTTTTGGCCAGGCTAGTCTCAAACTCCTGACCTCCGGTGACCTACTCACCTCAGCCTCTCAGAGTGCTGGGATTTCAGGCATAAGCCACTGCACCCAGCCTGCTGCTTTTTAAACATTTTTGAAAACTATTCATTTTTCATGGAGTGGTTAAGAGAGAAGACCCTGGAGTCCGCTGAATTCCACTCCTACTACCTTATTCTGAGTGAACACAGACCAGTTACTTAACCTCCTTGGTTTCAATCTCTGCAATTTTAAAAGGAAGACAACCTTCCTCATTGGATGGCTGAGAGGATAAAACAGCACTTGGTCCACAGGAGACTCTCAAGGAATGAGCACCCTTACTATTTGCTTCAAAAGACTCATCGAGGCCGGGTGCGGTGGCTCACACCTGTAATCCCAGCACTTCGGAGGCCAAGGAGGGCAGATCACAAAGTCAGGAGTTTGAAACCAGCCTGGCCAATATGGTGAAACCCTGTCTCTACTAAAAATATAAAAGTTAGCCAGGTGTGGTGGTGGGCACCTATAGTCCCAGCTACTCGGGAGACTGAGGCAGAAGAATTGCTTGAACCTGAAAGATGGAGGTTGCAGTGAGCTGAGATTGCTCCATTGCACTCCAGCCTGGGTGACAGAGCAAGACTCTGTATCAAAAAAAAAAAAAAAAAAAAAAAAGATTCATCAAGCTGAAACCTTCTATGACCAAGATATGACAAGTGGGGCCACTTTGGTGAACATGTAAATTGAGACTGAGCCTTTGAGGGGGAATTTGTCTACTATTCCCAAAGACCTTTCCTGGCTCTCCTTCCTCTGCCAGTCAATCATTCCCTCCTTTTCGGCCTCACCAGGCACCTTCAGGCCCCCTTAGCTCATTACTTACATCAGCCTCTGGTCCTCCAGCTCTGGTATTCTTCCCAACTATCATGCTTCAGGACCCCCATATGGCTGGAAAATCTGTGGCCGGTGTCTGGGGCACACTTAGCCACCTTGGTCTTGCCAGCCATTGAGGTCTTCTGACTTTATAGAATTCTGCCAAACCAGACCTTTCCTAGGTTTTCCTGTCATCCCCACTTCACTTTCATCATCTCAAAGTTGGTCTCCTTGGAGATATAATCAGTCCCTGGCACTCCTTTGAGCATCTTCTCCTGGCACCTGCGGCCTAGAACAGGTGTCCTCACTCTAAGCCAGGTAAGGGGAATCATTTCAATACAGTAACCCAAGGGACTTGACAGAGGTTCCAATGTTGACCTGACTCAAGCTTTTGTCCATCTTTCTGGATTACAGGTCAGTTTAAAGAGAAGATAACACAACCTAGGACACTGCATTGTCAATAAAAATATAAATCCTGCTGAGTGTGGTGGCTCACGCCTGTAATTCCAACACTTTGGGAGGCCACGGCAGGTGGATCACTTGAGGTCAGGAGTTCAAGACCAGCCTGGCCAACATGGCAAAACCCTGTCTCCACTAATAATACAAAAGTTAGCCAGGCATGGTGCCACATGCCTGTAGTCACAGCTACTCAGGAGGCTGAGGCAGGAGAATCACTTGAACCCAGGAGGTGGAGGTTGCAGGGAGCCAACACCACGCCACTGCACTCCAGCCTGGGTGGCACAGCAAGACTCTGCCTCAAAAAGAAAAAAAAAAGGTCCAAATCCTAAACAATAAGATGAACTGTTCCCATGATATTCCAAAGAGCTTTGACTAACAAAAAGTTCAATGTCTTAAATTTTATTTCCAAGTAACCAGAAGTGTAGATTAATTTCTCAAAGTAGCTTTAGTCACGAATAATCAGACAAAAGAAAGAGAGATCTTGCACTCTGATAGGTATTTTGGAATACTGCTTTCAGAGAAACTTTATCAAGAAAATACCAAATAGTCTGAGCACGGTGGCTCACGCCTGTAATCTCAGCACTTTGGGAGGCTGAGGCAGGTGGATCACCTGAAGTCAGGAGTTTGAGACCAGCCTGGCTAACATGGTGAAACCTCGTCTCTACTAAAAATACAAAAATTAGCTGGACGTGGTGGCGGGCGCCTGTCCCAGCTACTCAGGAGGCTGAGGCAGGAGAATCGCTCGTACCAGGAGGCAGAGGTTGCAGTGAGCTGAGATCATGCCACAGCATTCCAGCCTGGGTGACAGAGCAAGACTCCATCTCAAAAACAAAACAAAACAAAAAAAGAAAATACCAAATAATAAACAGAGAAAAATAAGAACAGTAGAAATGGGCTATTTGTGTTTTCATATGTAACAACTTTCTGAAATAAGAATAAAGAAAAGCAAAAAACAATTTAGGTTTGCAGGAACAAATTCTACCAACAGTGGGAACCTGGAAGCTTACCCCTACCCCTTGACAAAGGTCCAAGATTTCTTTACTTCTTTTTGATGCTGCTTGTCTCCTGAAGTTCTGTGGTGAGCTTGGTGGCCACTGGTTTGAGGAAGGGGTCTCCTACTAAGTCGAAAAGTCCTTTAGCATCTTCATCAGAAGATGAACCTCAGAAGTACCTGGACCTCAGAAGCAGTCAATTCAGAGAGAGGACCCCTCCAGCAATGATAACCTCCGGTCAAAGGACCCTAAGGCAGGGAAAATTCTTGCCTGGTCCTAACCCTCCCTGCCCATGCCCCTCACCTAAGTTGTCCCCAATCCAAAGCCATGATCCCCGCAGATACTTACAGGTAGGAGGAGAGCATGCCACACCAGAACATTGGCATCATCGCTGGACAGGTTCCGCAGGTACGGGGGAAGCTTGCTCTGAAGATCCTCCAGCTCCTGCAGGGGGTACAAGTGAGTGGGCAGCTGTCCTAGTCCTTCCTATTTCAGTGCCCTCCCCCTGCCCCAGCAGCAAGCTGTCCCAAGCCCAAAACTGGACATCCTAGAAACAGAATCCAGTAAAGTCAGAGCCTACATTTAGTGAGCACTTAGTATGTATTGGGCGTGGTGCTGGTGCTTTAAGTGAATTCTCTGATTGTGGACTCACCACAACCTCTGCTACATGTAGGTACCAGGTGCAGGGAAAAGCAGATCACTTCTCCCAGATATTAAAACTTGGGAGTAAGTGCTCTGGGGGGCTTTTCTCCTGAAAGCAGGGTACTTAACCTCTGTCTGCTCTCTAGCTTTCTTCCTAGAAATTCATTAGGTTCTCATTCCCTTCCTCTCTTCCTTTCTTCCTTCCATAAGCATCCACTGAGCATCTGCAGCAAAGACATCACCCACCCCTTCAAACTTGGCCAGATCAGGGCTGGGGAAGGGAAATGACTCCGGGAGACCGCAGCGGAGAACTCTACACACCATGCAGAGAAACAAGGGGGGAGGAGTCACTCACCTTCCCAGAACTATGGCCCAAGCACCTGAACATCCCTGAATTCTCCCAACAGCCATTACTGAGCATCCTCTACTGACATTTAACTCAGATAGGACCTAGTCCTCAGGAATTTCAGTAGCATAATGGACAAAACATGAATGTGATTTTATATGAACATGTATAGACATACAGAAGGGAAGGAGATGAAAGGGGAGAAGGAAGGCTTCACAGAGGGTGCACACCGTGAGCTGGGCCGTGCACAATGAATAGGAGTCCATAATGCAGAGAAGGGGAGAGGCGCCAGGGCAGAGGACCCAGACGGGGCAACTGTGTACAGTATATCCTGCAGGAGGTTAATAGGTAGTACCGGAAAAGAGTTCCAAGGTCAAGTACATTTGGGAAATCTAAGCTAAAGAGGTTTCTTCACTGTAGGACTTCCCAGAGCTATTTATTTATTTATTTATTTATTTATTTAGGAGTCTCACTCTGTCACCAGGCTGGAGTGCAATGGTGCAATCTCGGCTCATTGAAATCTCCTCCTCCCAGGTTCAAGCTATTCTCCTGCCTCAGTCTCCCAAATAGCTGGGATTACCGGCACCCGCCACCATGCCCGGCTAATTCTTTGTATTTTTAGTAGAGATGGGGTTTCACCCTGTTGGCCAGGCTGGTCTTGAATTCCTGACCTTAGGTGATCCACCCACCTCAGCCTCCCAAAGTGCTGGGATTATAGGCATGAGCCACCATGTCCAGACAATTTTTGTATTTTTTAGCAGAGAGGGGGTTTCACCATGTTGGCCAGGATAGTCTCGATCTTTTGACCTCATGATCTGCCTGCCTCAGCTTCCCAAAATGCCGGGATTACAAGTGTGAGCCACTGCGCCTGGCCTCTCAGAGCCTTTAACATGCTATTGTGTGTGGTAATTGCCCAAGATGTGAGCCCACAGCATGCAGTACTTCTCAACTGTATTTGATGAAGAAATGCTGCCCGTCTTTTAGGGTCCATCTTGTGGGGCTACAGGCCTTTTCTTGTTGGGGAAGATACAAAGACACTCAAGGGCAGGTCACATTTCTCTGGAATAGTGAATTGGTACAAACCAGTGGTTCTCAACCAGGGGCGATTTTACCCAACCAGGGACACCTGGTAATATCCAAGAACATTTTTCCATTGTCACAAACTGGGGGAGTGCTACTAGCATCTAGTGGGTAGAGGCCAGAGATGCTAATAAACATCCTAACAAAGAATTATCTGGCCCAACAAGAGCAGAGACTGCTGCCCCGAAGGGTGAGCCTCAGGCTTGGTCACATTCACCACAAGCTCATTGAAGGGCCTTTGGGCCTTAGGCGAACATCAGCGGTACCCTGGCACTACTCCTTATAGACCTGTGGTGGTGGTGGACACGGGGAGAGCCTCCCATGTCTGGGGAAAGGGGAGAGAAGAGTGGGAAGGACTTTGTCTTGAGGTTTCGGTGCCAGCGTAACTGCAGTAGCATCAGGTAGATTTCTAAAATTTCAAACTCCAGGCCTTGGCCCGTGGACAGCAACTCTGGACCTGTCTGGGGCCCGGCAGCGAACTAACCACCTTAAAGGGAAGGACACAAGCCTGGCTGGCTTCACCACCTGCTGAGTGTAGAGCCCTAGGGCCTTGAGTGAACACAGTGCATAGCCAGATAGTGATTACAGGAGGCCTTGGGCAAGACCCAGTGTGGTGCCAGCTTCAGGCCTGACCCAGTGCACTCCCAGTTCTGGTGACTGTAAGGATGCTTATGTCACCTCACCCAACTCCGGGAAACTCAGCACAGACAGAAAGACTCCATTTGTCTGGGAGAAAGGAAGGGAAGAAAACAAGAGCCTCTGCCTGATAATCCAGAGAATTCTTCCTGATCTTATCCAAAACCACCAAGGTAGTACCCTCTAAGAGTCTACAAGAACTACAGTGTTACCAGGCTTGGAGTCCCCGCAATGCAGACATGGCTGTGATGACCAAAACTTAGATCACAGCACTGAACCCTCTTCGAATACCTAGAAAGCCTTTCCAAGAAGGATGAGTACTAACAAGCCCAGACTACGGACTGTAATAAATACCTAACTCCTCAGTGCCCAGACACCAACAAACATCCACAAGCTTCAAGACGATCCAGGAAAACACAGCCTCACCAAATGAACTAAGTGAGGTACAAGGGGCCAATTCCACAGAAACAGAGATATGTAATCTTTCAGACAGAGAATTCAAAATAGCTGTTTTGAGGAAACTCAAAGAAATTCTATATTTCCTCCACAGAGAAGGAGTTCAAAATCCCATCAACAAATTTAACAAAGAAATTGAAATAGTTAAAAGGAATCAAGCAGAAATTCTCGAGTTGAAAATTGCAATTGAGGCCGGGCGCAGTGGCTCATGCCTGTACAGAATACCAGCATTTTGGGAGGCTGAGGTGGGTGGATCACTTGAGGTCAGGAGTTTGAGACCAGCCTGGCCAATATGGAGAAACCTCATCTCTACTAAAAATACAAAAATTAGTTGGGTGTGGTGATGGGCGCCTGTAATCCCAGCTACTTGGGAGGCTGAGGTAGGAGAATCACTTGAACCCAGGAGGCAGAGGTTGCAGGGAGCCGAGATCACGCCATTGCACTCCAGCCTGGGCAGCAAGAGCAAAACTCCGTCTCAAAAAAAAAAAAAGAAAAAAGAAAAACATAGGTTAGTATAACACTGTTTTTACAGTGTGTACATTACTCATATCTTAAGTAGAAAGAGGAAAAGATGAACCAATTAAATATAATAACTACAACAATTTTTCAAGAGATAGTACAATAAAAAATAAATAGAAAACAAAAAGTTAAAAGGCAGAAAGACAAAGTTAAAGTATACAGTTTTTATTAGTTTCTTTCTTTCTTTCTTTCCTTCCTTCCCTTCCTCCTTTCTTTCTTTTTCCTTCCTTCCTTTCTCTTTCTCTCTCTCTTTCTTTTTTGAGACAGAGTTTACTCTATTACCCAGACTGGAGTCCAGTGGCACAATCACAGCTCACTGCAGTCTCGACCTCCTGGGCTCAGGTGATCCTGCCACCTGAGCTTCCCGAGTAGCTGGGACCACAGCAGTGTGCTACCATACTGGCTAATTTTTGTACTTTTCATAGAGATGGGGTTTAGCCATGTTACCCAGGCTGGTCTCGAACTCCTGGGCTCAAGCGATCTGCCCACCTCAATCTTCCAAAGCACTGGTATTACAGGAGTAAGATGCCATGCCTAGCCTTTATTAGTTTTCTTTTTGCTTGTTTGTTTATGCAATCAGTGTTAACCTGTCATCAGTTTAAAATAACAGGTTGGCCAGGTGCGGTGGCTCACGCCTGTAATCCTAGCACTTTGGGAGGCCGAGGTGGGTGGATCACCTGAGGTCAGGAGTTCAAGACCAGCCTGGCCATCATGGTAAAACCCCATCTTTATAAAAATAAAATAAAATAAAATAACAGGTTATAAGATATTATTTGCAAACCTCCGGTAACCTCAAATCTAAAAACATACAATGGATACATAAGAGTTATCTGACCGGAAGTGTCAATAGTGATGAGTTTGAGAAGCTGAAGCTCTCCAAACCCAGTCCACAGTTGGAGAAGGGTCCTTTAACACTGTAGAACCTTTGAACTTTCTCTGCCTTCCTCCCACCCCCAACATATAATATTAAACACATCCCATGCCCCCTCCTATCTCCAGTCTGTGTTCCATCGCTATTCAACCAATAAGCTGCTTCTGGTGCCTTCCACCCAGGGTCTATTTATCTTTACCCCTCATTTATCTTTACCCCAAACTAGAAGCATCTGCATTTCAGAAAAGTTTCACTATCATCTGTGATTCCTTGGCAAGAACGAAGTCGCAGGTTGACCAGAGAAGATCTGGAATAGACATTTTCCTGACTTGACTATAAATGGGCACCCTTGGACTTTATCCATTTAGGGTGAGTTCTGACAAAACTTTCCCAAAGACTGAGGAAGTTGAAACCCAACTTAAAACACACAGTTCTTTCCTACTGCCCATTAGGAAATCACCTGACTCAGAGGAACAGAAAATGAAAGTAGAGAGGCCATTAAAAGGGCCTGCAGACCTGGCTTCATATACCAGTCCCACTGCTCCTTACTGAAAGACTCTGGACAACCAAGTTATTTTTTTCTGCACCTCAATTTCCTCATTTGTAAAACACGGATGTATATTACTTATCTCACAGAACTGCTGTGAGAATTAGATGAAGTAACTGCGTAAGCTGTTTGGCATTTAATGGTTCCAGTGCAATAAATTCTGGCTCCCATCTCTCTCCCACTTGGCTGGAAAGGCCCTCTGCCTCATTTTGCTGCCAACCTCCAGATGTAGGTTCTGGGCCAAGCCTGCTCTGGGCATCGCAGTCTGAGGCCATTTTCTTCTCAGAGGCTGAGGGTAACACCCTGGGTTTTTCCACCTTCTGGAGGAAATTGCCCCCTCCCCATCCTTCCAGGTCTTGTTTTAAATTGTGTCCCTGATCGGAATAAAATTCAACAAGGACTGGATTTGTGTTCATCTCTGCCCGCCCCACCCCCACCTCCTAGAACAGGGCCAGCACATGTAGGCATTCGACACTGGCAGAACTCACGAATGCAAGCCACCTACTCCAGGAGGCCTTCTTTTCCTCCAGAGAATACCCAGGGAACTTTGCCCCAAATTCTAATCAGCATTCCCTGTTTCTCAGTACTCTAGTAATGCAGGCGTCAAATTGTGGGATGGGCCATGGGCTTATTCCAAGGCAAGGACTTCATCCTGGTCATTCGTGTTCATAACCCACCCAGCAGTAGCAGAATGCCTGGCACCAAGACGCCAAGAACGCTTCCAGCACTGGAGACTTATCACAAGTCTCCATCCAGCACTCCATCCTTATCACAAGTTTCAGGCAGGAAAATCGAAATTGAAACCAGTTTGGTGGGAGCCGGCTCATCCTCACCAGGCACACAGCTCAAGGAGCCAGCAACATCCCCGCCCCATAGGCCCTCCAAGCCCCCAAAACTCCAGCTCTGGCCACTCGTGCAGACCAGTCTCCTCCTCTGAGTAGAGGGCGGGGAGGGCAGGGATTCGGCCAGCGCAGGTGCCCAGACAAATAAATAAATGCGCTCGGAGAACCGCGGAGGGAATGGAGGGAGGCGGGAATACGGGGGGAAGGGGAGCGGTGGGCAAGGGGAGGCAAGAGAAAGGGGTCATCCTACAAGCGGTTACCTTCGCCACTCGCACGCTCGCCGTCATCTCGGGACCGAGTGTGTGACACCAGCAGCCTCCAGCAGGACCGAGCCCCGACCCGCGACACCGCGCTCCCCGCCACGCCCGCCCGGAGGACCCCACCCCCGGCAGCCCCGCCCACCCCTCCTACCGCGGTCGGTGCGTGGACCTCCCCGCACCCGCTCTGGCGAGGCCCGGAGGCCGCCAAGGGACGACCCGCCGGGTGCACGCCCGATCCCCGCGTGGAGGGCTCGGACCCGGGACTCACGGTCTTTGTGGGGAGACAGGGGGGGGCGTGGGCCTCCGGGCGCGCGGCTCTGAGGATCGTGAGTCCTGCGGGGGGCGCGTGCACCGGCCGCGAGCGCGCAGGGGCGCTGGGGGGCGCTCATCCGGGTTCCGGTCCCCTCGGCTGGAAGCTCTCGGGTCTCGGTCAGCCCCCTGCGCGCCGTCCCAAATAAACGCTCGCCCTGAGTAAATGAGGGGTGCTTGCTGTGCAAACGCAGCTCCCTGACAGTTCTCGGCGGCCTCCACCATCGGACCGCCGCCCTGAGCCCCTGCCCCCGCGAGCTTCCGCAGCCCCCGGGCCTGCCGCCTGCCCTCCGCGGGCGCAGCGCTCCATCTCCGAAACGGCGTGGCGGACGGCGTAGACCCGAGCCCTGCGAGCGCCGCTCCCCGGCTGTCCCAGATCCTTTGTGCTGTCTGGCGTTGCGCGCGGGCCGAAACGTTTCTCCCCGTGGCTTGGAGAGGAGCACCGCAAGGAGGCGCTGTTAGACCCTTTCTCTTTTGCTCTGGGGGTTCGGTCGACCGTCGTTCAGTCCTTCACTAGGCTTAGTATTCACTAAGTGCCTACTGTATGCTGGTTTGGGAAACGGTTGGGTGGGAGATGCCCCTAGACGGACTCCGGAGCCTCCTCTCCAAGAGTCCGCCTCCCTTATTTTACTGCTGCCGGTCCATTACAAGCCGTGGGCCTAGCGTGTGCCCCCATGCACAGCTGGGGTTCCCACCCCTCTGTGCAAGGACGGAGTACTTGCAGCCCCTGAGCACCAAGCAGCATCTGGGGAAGATGAGACTTGTTGGGAGGGCCGATTCCCCCTTCTCCCCCTTCCCTACCCAACTTTAGTCCAGACGAGAAAGGAAATCAGTAGATTTTGAGCACCAGTTTGTGATCTCAGTAACTCACAGTTTTGTTGTTGTTGTTTGTTTGCTTGTGTGTTTGTTTGTATTTTTAGGAGAGATGGGATTTAACCATGTTGGTCAAGCTGGTCTCGAACTCCTGACCTAGCGATCCGCTCGCCTCGGCCTCCCAAAATGCTAGGATTACACGCGTGAGCCACCGCGTCCCAGTTTTGTTTTTTTTTTTTTTTCTGAAAGTCTCACTGTCGCCCTAAAGTTCAGTGGCGATACCGGCTACTGCAACCTCCCGCCTTCAGCCTTCCCGCTCAAGCTGTTCTCCCCGCAACCTCCTGAATAGCTGAGATTTACAGACCCGCACCGCCACGACCGGATCATTTTTGTATTTTTAGTAGAGACAGAGTCTCGAACTCGTGGTTTCAAGTAACTCGCCCAGCTCGGCCTCCCAAAGTGCTGGGATTGCAGGCGTGAGCCACCGTGCCCGGCCCATAGTTTTTATCTAAGTATTTTGATTCCCAATGACTTTGCTCAGATTTTGCAGAACGATTGTTGCATTCAATTCAGTAAACTTTAACAGCATCTCCTTATATGCCGGAAATGAATAGGACATTGTCCGTAACCCCTGAACAGGGGTAGAGATGAGGGAACAAAGACATTCGAACCTGCCTCTGATCAGTAGTCTCAGTCAACAAGCACTTAACATCCCAGCACTTTGGGAGGCAGAGGCCGGCGGATCACGAGGTCAGGAAATGGAGACCAGCCTGACAAATAGGGTGGAAACCCCATCTCTACTAAAAATACTAAAACCCCATCTCTACTAAAAATTAGCCGGGTGGCACGCGCCTATAGTCCCATCTACTCCGGAGGCTGAGGCAGGAGAATTGCTTGAACCCGTGAGGCGGAGGTTGCAGTGAGCCGAGATTGCTCCATTGCACTCCGGACTGGGCGACAGAGCCAGACTCCGTCTCAAGAAAACCAACCAACCACACAAACAAAACAAAAAACAAAAAAACAAGTACTTAACTACTGAGGGGCAGGCGTTGCCAGCAGAAAACACCAGGATGAAAAAGGGGAGTCCCCGCCCCTGAGGCGCTCTCAGACTACTGGGACAGAGGGAGAGAATGCAGCCCCTGATTTTTAATGATAATGATATAGAGAATCACCTGGTAGTCCGGGAATATGAGGAAGGTCACTTGATCTCCCTTCAGAGAGGGGCAGACGTTTCCCGGAAGAGAGAAAAATCCAAGCGTGTTGTGAAACATGATGAGTCAGCGAGAGTAAGTGAGTGGGATGAAGATGTTCTAACAAGAAGGAATAGCATGAGCAAAGGGGGTAGTGTCTTTGGAAACAGGAGCAAACGCCTCTGTCCACGCCCACGCTCTGTAGCTCTTTTTTTTTTTTCTTACAGAAACCCTGCATCCTGAGGCAAATTCATAGTCATGGAATTAGCTGGGTCCTAAGCCCACACAGTGGGGCAGCCCACAGGTGTGACCTTCATGTCCTTTCACAATGCAGACCTTTGTGTGTCAGAACAAGCCCCAGGGAGATCTGGGTTCTAGTTCCACATCTGTCCCATGTGCAGTATGGCCTTCGGTGGATGGTGGAAACTCCTTTCTGCTTCCCAGGACCATTGTGAGGCTAATCTGAGGGAAGTGGAGGAAGTTTGAAAATTCTAAGTCCAAGACATAAACAATCAGGTTTGAATCCCAGCTCCACCATTCTTGGCTATATAACCTTGGGCAAACTACTTGACCTGTCTCTGCCTCCATTTTCTCATCTGTTAAATGGGGCTCATGATAGTGCATGTGAGGAATAATGAGTGGATATTTAAAAAGAACTTAACTTTGAATGGTGGACAATAAGTGACAGTTATAATAATGGTAACAGTAAATATTAAAATGGGCTGGTCACGGTGGCTCATGCCTGTAATCCCAGCACTTTGGGAGGTTAAGGTGGGTGGATCATGAGGTCAGGAGTTCGAGACCAGCCTGGCCAACATAGTGAAACCCCACCTCTACTAAAAATACCAAAAATTAGCCTAGTATGGTGGCATGTGCCTGTAGTCCCAGATACTCAGGAGGCTGAGGCAGGAGAATCACTTGAACCTGGGAGGCAGAGGTTGTGGTGAGCTGAGATCCCACCTCTGCACTCTAGCCTGGGCAACAGAACAAGACTCCGTCTCAAAAAATAAAAATAAATACATAAATAAATAAATACGTATTAAAATGATGTCAGGTGCCTGCCCAGGAGTGAATGTACCAGGCTATAGGAACAGAGATGCCTGAGCTTGCTCCCTTAGAACAATGCAGCACTATCTTCCCCAATAGGAGACCCTGTTTTACTTCTCTCTGATTGGGTCACTGGCAGTTACTCATCTATCTACGAAATTTATTGAGCACCTACTTATACAAGGCCTTGTATGGGGCACTCTCTGGGACTCAGGCATGGGTTAGGCTGGCTCTGTCTTCACCATTGAGGGGAAGAGACACACATCTGTGTGATGACAAAAGGTGGTCAGAGGAAGGCCTCTTAAGTGATGTGCACATATGAGGTATGTCTCTTCCAAGACTCAGCTCTGCCAGTCTTATGAGGATAAAATGAGATGGTGTATGCAAGGGGACACCTTGTAGATGCAAAAGTATGTTATCTATTTATAATGCCTCTAGAGTTCTGGGCAAGAGGTTCAAGTTGCCGGGGGCAGTGGCTCATGCCTGTAATCCCAGCACTTTGGGAGGCCAAGGCAGGAGGATCACCTGAGGTCGGGAGTTTGAGAGCAGCCTGGGCAACATAGAGAAACCCCATCTCTACTAAAAATACAAAATTAGCTGGGCGTGGTGGTGCATGCCTATAATCCCAGCTACTTGGGAGGCTGAGGCAGTAGAATCACTTGAACGTGGGAGGTGGAGGTTGCAGTGAGCTGAGATTGTGCCATTGCACTGCAGCCTGGGCAACAAGAGTGAAACTCCAGTCTCAAAAAACAAAAAACGAGTTTCAGGTTATTCAGAAGTCTCCAACAACCTTCTTCAGTGCATCTTCAAGGGGAGAATTTGGATCAGGAAGGATCAGTTGATTTCTTTTCATGCCCATTCCTTGGGCTTGTTCCTATTTGGAGTAGGGAGGGTTAATCTCAGAACTACCCCACCTCTCCCCATCTTCCTAGAGCTTAAAGAAGTTCCCAAGAACCAGAGACAGAAGAGAATTTCCTGCTTCTTTTGATCAGGGAAGGTACCGCCTCCTGCTTACCCCACACCCCCAGTTCCCCTGGGTTAGTCTCATACACACACACCCCTCCTGCACCATGAGTCCTGCCCTTGTGGTTGAGGTGGAGGGATGGATAGAGACAGTCATGGAGACAGGGGGTCCCAGGATAGGGGCTGGGGGCATTCCTGCCACAAGAGCAGGAAGGTGACCTGGTGAGTCAAGGACCCGCTTCCTCAGCTGGGCTGAGCCACTCACTCACTGGCTTCCTTGTTGTGGGACTTTGGACATGAAAAGTAGCCGTAATAACAGATAACCACAATAACTAATGTATATTGGATGTACAAGGGTGTAGTAGCAGCTTGGGCTGATATCACAAAGTGCCACCAGCCAAATAGCTTTAACAACAGGATTTACTTTGTCACAGTTCTGGAGGCTGGAAGTCCAAGATTATGATTCCAGATGATTCGATTTCTGATGAGGGCTCTCTTCCCAGCTTGCAGACGGCTGCCTTCTTGCTGTGTCCTCACATGGCCTTTCCTTGGGTGCTTGTGCAGGCAATGTGGGTATTAGAGAAAGTGAGCTCTCCAGTGTCTCTTCTCATACGGACATGAATTCTGTCAGATTAGAGTCTCACCCTCATGACTTCATTTAATCCTAAGTACTCTTTAGAGGTGCCATGTCCAAAGACAACCACATTGGAGGTTACAGCTTCAAGATGTGAATTTTGAGGGACACAAATGTTCTACTAAGTGCTTGACATGCAGTGTCATAATTGATCCATTCAATAATG